CATTCTCCCTGGGCTACAGTCAGTGTCGCGGGGCTGTGCTCCTGTGCGGGTCTCCGGGAAAGACTCCATCCTCTTGGCTTTTCCGGCTTCTACGGCCTGCCCACATCCCATGGCTTAGGGCCACTTCCTCCATCTTCAAACCCGCAGCTTAGCATCTTCCAGCGTCCGCCTCAGTCTCCTGCCTGCCTCCCGCCTTCCCTCATCAGGATTCCCGCGATGACACTGGGCCCAGAGGTGCAAAGCCTGAGCTGGCCAGCCACCTCGCTTTCAGCTTGCTTGTCTGTAAAATGGGGTGGAGGAGGGGGGTGGGGTCCCCTTCCAAGCCTAACTCCGACTGGAACGGCCATCCCATGAGGACAGGCATTTGCATCTGTCTTCTTCACTCCGGTGTCTTCACTGTCTGGAACAGTGCCTGGGACGTAATAGGCACGCCATAATTATTTGTGGAATAAAATAGTTGTTGCGGAATGGATGACTCAGCCCAGGGAAAGTTTGAAAAGAGTGCCGGTGAGAACTCGCCTCTGGCTCCTGAATCCATGAAGTTCTCGTTTTCTTGGCGAAGTAAGGTTTTCGGCTCAGGTTACGGGTGGTCTAGAGGCTCTGCATTACGACAGAGACACTGCAGGCCGGGGAGAAGGGCTAAGGTGTGCGGAGTCTGTTCCTTTCCTCCTGACTTCCACCCTCACGCAAGGCCTCCCCTGGGACTGAGAATGGGGACACCTAAGGCAGTGATGTCCGACCCAGTCAGGGGTTGGGCAGCTGCTGAGTGAGGCAGGAATTGCTCGCTGTGACCATCAGTTGCCCCTGAAAGGACCAGCTGTCACATTCCACGCCGTTCACCCAGTGAGAGCCAGGCCTTGCCCTTCGCATACCGAAAAGAACACTTGACCCCGTGAGGACATAATGTCCATTTGTGCTGTGAAAAGTGCCCGGAAGACAGAAAACAGAGATGCTCCTTTGTGCTTAAAAAAAAAAAAAAAAAAGTAGCGTGAAGTATTGGTGTTGGAGGGTTCGACAGGCAGGTAGCTTGCAGATGGGCAGAAGTGACTGAGCTTTCTGCGGAAGCTGACATTTTTAGGGGCTTTGCCTCTTAGATACGAGGTCTAACGTACACTTGCCATAAAAGCTGTCTTTGAAAACTGACATTTAAAAGCCTATGGTTAGCAGTTTCTTGGCTTGAAGAAAATGAACTAAATTTGTTGAAAGAGCAATCGATGACAGAAGAAAGACTTTATATCGACACCAGGCGAGCAGAGGGTGCTGGTTTTTGCTTAGGATCCTTGAAATCTTTCTTGTTTATTTTTTTGTCTTTACTGTCTTATGTGACCTTGGACAAATGCTCTAACTTCTCTCCAATTCTTATTTGTTGTTTTTACCAGTGCTATTTTTAAAATGTCATCCATCTGAGAATGGGAGCACATCCATGGATTTGATATATTTTTCTAGTCTAATTGTCTTTTAAAAGAACTTGCCTGTTTTAAAAAAATATATAAAAATTATATTTGATTAATCATCTTTTAAACAAATTAACCTCTAATATCTAAGTCTATAAAATTATTGGTGAAATAATTGTTTACCAGGAAGGATGAAAAATACATTGTTGGAAGTCCTCATTCCATGATGTTGCCTAATGGGAAATACCTTGCCCTAATGTCGGGGGGTGGGGGGTGGGAGGAGATAAATACGGGAGAGACCTGGGTTTGAAGCCTGTAAACAAGACTTCTGCTCAGGCTGCCGAACTAAACAGATGCAGAAGAATTCCCGCCCCATTCTGTAAACAAGCGGAAGATATAATAACATTTCACCAAAAGCAATTTTAGAAATTACAGGTGAGCTCAAGAAAGGGAAAGCCACAGCTGTCAGAAACAAAGAGGGGAGCCCCAAGGTAAGAGACGTGGGGGACCAAAGGCTGGATGGGCTCACGGAGCTCTGAGATTGAGGGCAGTGAGATGAATGAATGTCGAGGGTAGCACAGGCAGGTGGGGGCGGGGAGGTGAAACTCAACTCACACACAGGTGGGGTTCCAGCTCACCACCATGCAGTGCCCGGTGGAAGGTCCTTTGTGTGGACACTTCATGACTGAGGAACGCGGCGCTCCTGCAGAAAATGGTGCCTGCTCAGGACTTATAGCCAGAACTAAGTCTGTTCAAAGAGATGGACAACGGGGACTAGTATTGAAAGGAAACGGTAAAAAGGAGGAGGAATAGGCAGGTCTGAAAAGAGTCAAGTAGAAATTCTACAAATGGAAGATAGTTACTGAAGGACGTGAACACCATTGTGTTGATTGAAAATTATGAATAATGGCTTATATTTTGTGTGGTTTCAATGACATTGTTTTTTTAACCAGAGAGAGCTTTTCAGCCCACAGTTAGGAAACTGTTTACCCTGTAAGTGTTCTCGAGTGTAAAACACGCAGTTTGAAATTGAAGTTGAAGTTGGGAAAGAGGTTCTAACAGAGGAGCCCTCTCTGGACCACCCCGTGTGGACTGAGAGAGCCTCGTCCAGGTGAAGACCGATGCTTCAGGCCCGCGGGGAGCAGGCCATGCTGTGCCTCTGCTCCTCTAGTGGGGTTGATGCTCACGGGCCACCAGTGCAGCCTTCACACCCCCTGCCCTCCCCTGCACCCAGATCAGGTCACAGATCACGTCCCGGGTTAAGGGTATGTGTCGCCTGCAGCCTGGGACCACTATGAGCTAACTGGCCCACACCAACTTCCGTTCTCGAGGGACTCCATAGAATGACCTAAACCAACCAACATTATCACTTTTACTAGAAAATACATAGTGTGACTGGTTTTCCTCTTTTAAAGCTTTGAAAGCACCTGTCATCTCACTGTCAATTTGTGGTGATATCATGATGGACTAAAAATATTAATATAGTTGGATTACTGTCCATGTAATAAGCAGCCAGCTTTTTGTCCCTGTCTGCTTTTGAGTGAGCAGGAACTTTCTCCTTATTTTCTTGCTTAGTGCGTTGCCTCACACAGCTCCAGGTACAAACTGCATATCAGAAAAGTACATACTTTTCTATACTGTACAAGTATGTCAGAAGGTTTGTTGAAGAGTCTCTTTCTCTGTTTTAAACTCACCTTCCTTAAAATGAAGATTGAAAATTTAAGTCCTTTATAAACTCATTTAAGACAAATAAAAACACAAATGTCATCTCTCTCATCTGTCAGGTGTTCCTTTCTGTGCTCTGAGCAGTTGGTGGGCCCCTGTGTCATGAAACTGGCCATGCTGTCCATCCTAAGTGTCCGTTAGTGCGCGTGTGTCTACGTGTCTCCCAGTCATGATTCTGAGCTCATTCGGAGTTGTCTCTCTCGCAGCGTCTCACTCCTCGGTACACGGTAGCACCTCAGTGTTTTTTAAGTGGATGCGTGCACACTTACAGTCACCGAGCTATGCTGACACCACCGTGTCTTAGACTGAGTGCCCTCCAAGTGAGCGTGCCTAGCTGCAATCCAGGCATTTTGACCTTAGACAGAAGCCATTGTAACCATTTAGTCGTTGAGATTAGAGTGTGTAGAAATCTTACCATTTTCAATAGCTAAACAGTATACAAAAAAACAGTTGAACTAAGGACAATAAAAAGGTACAGGATAATCGGATAATTCTGCTCTTGTTAAACTAACATCCCTTTACCTGTGATGGACAAGGAGGGAAAGGTGTTGAGAAGACCAGGCAACTACATCAGACAAGAATGGACTCGTATTTCTCTGTCCTTGTTCTGCTACCCTAGAGGGGTTTCTAGATCCTTTTCTTAGAGCTAAGGGACTGGAATGAGCTGAGAAAACAAGGGTGAACCATCCACAAAAACGAAGGACTTTACATTCCTAGAGTGGAACCACTTAGAGGATAATAGCTTATCCAGCTGAGATTAAATTGCAGCAGGAAAGCGAGAGTAGAATTTTTAAGTAGTAAAGAGGAAGCAAAAGTAAGTCGAAGGTGTTTATACAACTAAGGTAATAACTCAAACTGAAGTAGGAACTAAACAGGTAAGTAAAATACACTCTCAGGCAGAAAGATAAGAAGATTCTTAAGGTCTTGCTAAGTCTTTTATGGAAACTTAAGACATATTCCCAGACAGTGTAGCTCAATCTTCTTAAGATATAGCTTGTCTTTCGAATACCTTCTGATCCATTTAAAGGAAGGCTTAGCCTGTTAATTCCTGTTTTGATTTTTCAATAAAGCCTCTTTCCCCCAAAATAAGTCTGTTGAAGGTGAAACAATTTTCTTTTTTTGTTTTTTTCATTAAATTTATTGGAGTGACAATGGTGAGTAAAATTACATAGGTTTCAGGTGTACAATTCTGTAATACATCATCTGTATGTCACATTGTGTGTTCATCACCCAGAGTCAGTTCTCCTTCTGTCACCGTATATTTGACCTCCTTGACCCTCTTCTACCACCCCCCTCCCCACTTAGAAGGTGAAATAATGTCCAAGGTCAGAAGTTTCAAAAGAAGTTGAATTATGTTCCTATATTAGCAATTATTTTCACGCTAGTAGTCCTCCTGCTTTTTAGCATCAATGATTGGCAGCTGGATCCTATTTCATTTTTAGTAGAAAAGCACTTAGCCTGTTTGAAATATTATATGTAAAACCAATATAAAATGTTCATCTTATCATATATCTTATTTGAAATGTGATTTAAAACTGGTGTTTCTTTTTTATTGAAAAAGCATGAAAAGCATTCACTTAAATGTGATTGCCAATAATTTCTTTCACAGGACAGGGTGAAATCACAGAATCAAATATAGTTTGGGACCAAAGAAGTTGAAAACACTCAAATTCTTATTAGGAAAAAAGAGTGTGAATGATGCAGAACTATTTCAAATGCTGACGTTTTGGAGTTTTTTTTTTTTTGTTTTTTTTTTCTGCTGTTTTTGTAGCTTATTGTTATTTTAAAGTACATGTAGAAATTCTTTTGTAAACACACTTTGATGAATTTATACCAGTAATTTTGGTCAATAAAATAAGCACTTTTCTCTCCTTCTACCAGGTCGTTGGTGTAGCCCAGGCCATCAACAAGAAATCGGGAAATGGTGGGACGTTTACTGAAAAAGATGAAAAGGTACCAAAACGTGTGTTTGGTGTTCTGTCAGCTCAGGAAGATGCTCTCACTTTAGAGTGGATAGACCTCTAGAATTAGCTGGTGCTGAAATTGTTGATCACAAAACATTATGGTTTAAAGTGACTGGAAATGGTCAAAAGTGTCCCTTTCCTACGGTAAATACAGTGCTGACCTGACTTTGGAGAACCTGCGGTGTTCATTCAGTCATCAGAACCCCCAGCTCCCCCCTCACTGTGCAGCCACGCCTCCCCCAGGGCCCTGTGCATGTTGGGGCCACGCCTCCCCCAGGGCCCTGTGCATGTTGGGCTGTGTGCATGTTGGGGATGTATAAAGGGCTTTAAACTCACTCGTTTACCTTTCATCACTGCTATAAAGAAATTCAACCTTGAGTAAAAACCCCTACAGCACTCCTTCAAGTTCAGCACTCCAGGTCAGCTCAAAATTGGAATTCCTTCCTGGTGAAGCAAATTTCAGAGTGTTTTATAAGTTTGCACTTAGATGATGGGGCACCAAGGTGTGAATGCAGGCTGGATTATGTGAATTTTGCGTCAGAAAGAACGGTAGTCAGCATGATTGTGTTACTCCTCTCATCTAGCTCTGAAGGCGGGTACTCCACACACCACGTCAGCTTGTTTCCATTTAAGGAAGGAAGCCCTTAGAGCTGCTTAAAATGTCATCCTGCCAGTAGGTTTTACTGTTGCTCTTGTTGAATATGTAATTATATCATGGGACCCACTGAATTCTTCCTCGTCAAGCTCATTGCTATTTATGTCACTGTCCTGAAAACCAGTGGGAGCCTTCGGAAGGCTTATGAACAACACAGAGTGCCTTTTGTCTGCATGCTGGAGGCTGTATTGGCACCTGTGTTTGTCCCCTGTCTTAATTGCTTCAGAACATAGCAAGTACCTTTAAAATCAGTGTAATAAACATCTGGTCTCATATTCTGTTGATGATACCTGAGAATATTTCGGGAGAACATGGTTCTAGATTGGCTTTCTATTCCATTATTTGTTTATAGTCCATTAATGTAACCCCTCTTGAAAGATTTGCACCCTTGGGCCATATCATCTCTTGGCAAAATAAATCCATGCTTGTGGATAATGTGTGCCATGTAAAGATGTATTTTAATCAATAATCAATATAATTGTGAGCATATCACCTGAGTATGTTATAATGAGAATGATAGATACATGCTAAAGAGAACATGTTTAAACAAATATTTGCAACTTTATATGGGACTGTTATTGCCAATATTCTTTTAACAAGCATGTGAGCTTTATTTGCTCCAGTAACAAGTTATAAACTATGTATATTTTTTCAGCATGGAGCCAAGTCTTAATGTCATTCAGACACTACACCAAATTTTGCATAAAGCAAATTTCAGTTTCAAACGCTATAAAGAGACCTGCATCTTAGCCCCTCCCCGCTTTCTCCTTGTTCGTTTACACCTGATGTAAGACTTTAGGAGACTATGTTAACATTTGTTATCCATGAGCTGTGACGTTTAGTGCACACTTGCTCTGCATCAGTTCCAAATATTTTTGCAGAATAAGCATCTACACTTTGGGCTTTCTAATTTTTATTTCAACTGTAAATGTTTTTGGATGCCTTTTGTGTTTCAGGCAATATAACAGTTTTATAGACAATTCTTATTTGGTGCTGTCTTGCCTGTTTTCTAGGACTTTGCTGCTTACTTGGCATTTTGTGGTATCGTTCTCCATAATGCCCAGCTCTATGAGACTTCACTTCTGGAGAACAAAAGAAATCAGGCAAGTCTTGTTGCTAGAAATCCTTTTCTAAAATTTGTAAATTTTCATCCAAGTAATATATGTGTAGGATTAAAAATGCAAATAGTGCAAATTCCGTTTCTAAACATTTTATTTGTTTCTTCTAATAGTTACTTCCATTTCCTATTTCCCATGCTTTCTCTCTGTTAGGCAATATTCACTAACTTAACAGGTGAGGATTTCTTTGACTTAACGCCGTCCTTTACTTCATTCCCCTTATCCTACCTGTATCACTGTGTCACTGTTTGAGCTGTTAGATAGGTTCATTTATAAGGTTAAATAAGACTTTCAGTTCTTGCTCTGTCAACTAGAGACACCATCTCTTGATTCCATGCTTCCTAAGATGAGGACATTTGCATTCCTCACCTCTCCTCGCCATCCACCACTCCTTACCTCTGCCTCCCCATCTGGACTTTTTCTTTTACACTGCCCACATTGAGAACATATCTGTTGTCTGCAACCATGATTAGCTTCTCTTAAGCTTTGTCTAGGTTAGTTCTAAAGTTGCAATTTAAAATAAGGTGTTTATAAGCACCATGACTGTGTAAACGTTGTTCATATTAGTTTTTCTTGATGCTTCTGAACCTATTTTATTTTCCTCGAACTGTTTGCTCTAGTGTAGCCTCATGCTGTTGTTTTTTTCCCCCCAGACGCTCCAGTATTTAGGCATTCTGTTGAGCTCTTTCTCTTGGAGATCTCCAAACTAAGGCTCTCCAACTTTTCTCTTCCAAGTTAAATCATTTATCCCTGTGCCTGCTGCACATGTGTCATCATAGAACTTGCCTTCACTACTTTCTTAGAAAGACTCCTCTGTTTAGCCATTGGACCCTGTAACTGCTTCTCTGTCCATTTACTCGTTTGTTTTATTGCAGCACATTCTCAACCAACTATTTGAGAAAGGCCATTGGTGTGGCAAGCTTTCGAGCTCTCGCATGTATAAAATATATCTATTGTACCATCCTACCAGCTTGGCTGGGTATAACATTCTAAATTAAGAAATCAGTTTCTCAGAATTTAAAGCTACTGCTTTGTCTTCTAGCTAGCTAGCATCCATGTTGTTTTGATTCTTGGTTCTTTGTAGATTTTTTTTAATGTTTGTAGGCTTTTTTGGATTATTTATCTTGGCTTTTGTAACTTAATTTCACAATATGACTTTTTTTCCCCCCCTTTCATTTCTCATGTTGTCACCTGGTTATCCCCTTCAGCCTGAAGAGACTTAAGCTCTTCAGTTTTATGTAAATTTTTTTCATAATTTCTTTGATAATTCATTTCCCTTGCTCTCTTATTTTCTCCTTTTAGAACTTGTGTTAGTAAGACACTGGACCTTCCATTACTTTCAACTGCAGTATTTTCCTATCTTTTTCCATGCTTTGTTGTTGCCACCTGTTAATCCAGTCCCCATTTTTATGAACACAGCTGTGATCTTATCACTTCCTCCCTGCAATCCATCATCATCCAAATTGCTTCAAGAGACATGCAGGGCTTTTGGGGTCTCCTCTCTGCTTAGCTCTGCAATCTCATCTCCCCAGTTCTCCTGTTTACTCTCTATGTTCTCATAAAACTTCATCAAAGCTTGGAGTATGCTACTTTCTCTCAATTCATTTACTTTTGACTGAAATATTTCCCTTACCCATATCACTGAAATGATTTGTACTCATCTTTCAGACCTCTGCTAAGATAATATCACCTCCAGCAAATTTTCTGTAATATCCTTTCAACCCCCTCATCAAGCAAATACTTTGTGAGATTAGAAGAAATTTTATGGAATTCAAAGGAAAGAAAATTACCAGGAAAAACACAAATAGAACTCTGAAAACTTTGTTTACTTTGAATAATATTTACTGTGCTCTGTGAAAATGTTGATAATGTTGATAAACATTTATTATTTAGAAACAGTGTGTTTTATGTATCAGATACTGTTCAAAATGCCTTATAAATGTTAATTTGTTCAGTTCTTACAACATCCCTATGATTTTAGTACTGCTGCTATCCCCATTTTCAAGAAACTTGCCGTAGATCACAAAGCTAGCAGGAAAGGGAGTCAGGATGAAAATCTGATGACTCTGGGTTCAGAGTCTGTGATTATCGCCACTATAGTAACTGCTAATACTTAATAAGGAAATTTTGTTAGTATACAGAGACTTACATATTTAATACTTGAATGCAAACTTGGTTGTGTACATATATATATAGAACTTATAACCTGTATAGATCATTTTACTGCTTTAATAATCACAAGCAATTACTAAATAATAAGCTTTTATTTTTTGTCTAGGTGCTGCTTGACCTTGCTAGCTTAATTTTTGAAGAACAACAATCACTAGAAGTAATTCTAAAGAAAATAGCTGCCACTATTATCTCCTTCATGCAGGTGCAGAAATGCACCATTTTCATAGTGGATGAAGATTGCTCCGTGAGTACAGAGTATGACTTTTTTATTTTTAGATAGACACTTATATCCCTTAAAGCACTGCTTTTAAACCCATGTTAGCCTCAGAAGCCTCCCTCAAACCCGACTGTATGTGGTGTTTACATAAAGCCGATGGTAGCATGAGCTGTTCTGGCTGAGGGGCAGAGGTGGGATTGGAGGGCGCCTTCAGCGCACCTTTTACCTTTGTGCCCCTCCCCTGTGCAGCCACCACAGGAATGTCTGTGTCCGCGTTGGTCCGCAACTGCTCTACCTTGATGACAAGGTGTATTATGGTCACAGTCCCAACTTTCCATGGTCAGGAATAGTGGTGCCCTGGCTGCTATGAACAGGGAGACCCCCCCATCCCCAATGGGTTGGGTACAAAATTTTCCTTTTACTGGAAATTGTTTAAAAACCGAAAGACATGGCCCAGTAGAGGCGATGCTATTGAAGGCGCGCCTGTAAGTCCCAAAGCCTTTACCAACAATGAAAAGCCACTCAACTGTTCTAATTAGTACATTTCAAGCCACTGATTTGTAATGTATGGAAACAGACATGTGTGGAAATATTGTGCTCATAGAATACTGGTTACTTCTAGACGGGCCAGCTGAGTTTGCCCTTAGAATTGGGACCTCTAGCCAAAGGCAGTTTTCCTTTATGCAATTTCTTTCTCTTCTCAACCTGTGAAGCACTGCTTCTGGGATATATCTTTTTGATATAGTTGTTCACTTTCTTTTTCCTTTGGACCCTGAGAAAAGGCTCTTCACTGTGGGTCAGTAGGAAAGAGTTGGGGTTACCACTTGGATAGGTCAACTACAACCCATATATGATAGCTGAATTGATGTTTTTTTGGGGGGAAGGAGAATAATAAAAGATATTTATTTAATACTTACATTAAAACGTTTTAATTGTTTTAGATAGTAAGACAGTACTGTATGCCCCAACATTATCTGAATAATTTTGTGTGTGGGCGTGTGTAATTCTTATTAATAGGATATTAATAAATGAGAACTCATGATGCTATAAGATAATCACAGTATCCTCATGGGTATTACTTCATATTTTCAATCAGTTATACAATCTTTAATATATAGATGATTACAAGATAGCAGCTATCCTTTTAGAGTTCAGGTCAGAACTCATTAATACAGTATATCAATTATGATGTTTCCTCTGTGACCTGCTCTTTAGCATTTAATTTTTGAAAGTTATACATGAGGTAGTCCTTATTTAGGCAACTTATTCGGTTGTTGGAAAAGTCATGACATATTTTTTCTATGTTTTTGTTGCAAAAATGCGTCGTGACTTTTCCAACAACCCAATAAGTACCACTTTAATTAACATTCAGCTCACGCTTCTACCACTTACCACCTATCATGGCAGCAACTGATGTGGACCAGTGGTGCTTGGAAGTATAGCCCAGAAAAATGCCCATAAGTACATTTTGCTCATTTTTTAACAACTTAGTTGTTGGGTTTAAAGAAGGAATTAAGTGACTTGATGTTTGTTTATATTACAATTATTTGTTGATTAAAAATATGTCAACACCACTAGCAAAAATCAAAAGCTAACAAGAAAAAAAATGTACTCAGCATTTCTGTCCCCAACTTAAACTAATATTTCTGTGTTTCCTTCCAGTTTTTATTAGTTATAGATATAGCTTGGTTGTGAATATGTATTCTGTTTTTGGTTTTTTTTTGTTTGTTTATTTATATTGTCCTTGAGATTCCACATGTAAGTAAAATCATATGGTATAATTTTTGTCTTTCTCAGTCTGACTTGCTTTACTTAGCATCATACCCTTTAACATCCATCCATGTTGTCACAAATGTAAGATTTCATTCTTTTTTATGGCCAAGCAATATTCCATCATATTGTTGATGAAAAATATCCAGACTAAGAGAAAACTTATAAGAGTTTATTTGAGCCAAACTGTCAACAATTGCCAGGAAGCAAAATCTCAATGGATAGAGGAAATGCTCCTGTATTCTGTTTTTTAATGTAACTTCAAAAGTATTCCTCTATGTAGCTAAAACCTGTACAATTATTTTAGTGATCTCATAAAACATTATTGGATGATATGTCTTTTTAAAAAGATATTCTTTACCTGCGATCTAACATATGCATAGATGCAAAAACTCAAGGATTTTGACTAAATACAGAGAAATTTTGAAGCTAACATATTTATCAACACCTCATAGAAAAAAATAGTACTCAAATAAATATTCTTGCAAGTGGAAATCAGAAACTACATGACTTAATAACGGATGTCATAAAGTAAGTACTTGGTTCAGTTCAATCTGAGAGTAAATTAAAAAAAATATACAACTATTAGTGTGTCAGTCATTCCTTACACATGTATGTCCATATCTAGATAGTTTTTATTACCTTGTCAGACATTTCTCAGCCTGTGTTGTCGCTCTGTTTTCAGGATTCCTTTTCTAGTGTGTTTCACATGGAGTGTGACGAATTAGAAAAGTCATCAGATACTTTAACAAGGTAAAATGACTTAATCTCTGTCTTTATTCGCAAGTATATAATACTGGCTAAATTCTTATTGCATAATCCCTTTAAGACAGAAGCTACACCTATTTTTCCCCCACAAATAATTTTGTTTATTAAAATACTTTACTGTTTGATATTAAAAAGTTTCAATTTTTCTTTCACTAAGTTGACCTATTAGAGAATTATTTCATAGAGTGAATGGTGTCACAAGAGCTGTATTTCAGTTCTGTTTTTTCATTGCATGTTGGAGCCTCCCTGGAAATCTAACAGGTGTCTGAACACACTTTTCTATGCGTCTGTTCTGCTGTGGAATCAGCGTGGGGATTTGATATGAGAAGGGAGCCTGTGGTCCCGCTCACACCTGTGCACGCGCCCCGGGGCTCGAGTCAGATCAGGCTTCTTTCGTAGTCCATTTCTTTCACATGTGTTTCATAATTTTTAAATTTGTATTCACTTCTGTGTTCGTTGTCACTCAGAAACAATAGAAAGTATTTATATGGTGGAGGTTGTAGATGGTATTATGACAGTTTTATACATGTATGTGCTTTCTGAAAAATTTGGAAATGTTCTAATTTAAATGTTCTAATTCAAAATTTGGAAATTACCAAATGTTCTTTCTCATGCTTCCTTTTCACCCTTAGCAAAAACTGGTGTTATTTGGCTACGTGACAGGATATTCTAAGGAATATATGTCTGCCAGGATAAAGCATCGGAAATTCTTGGGCACATCATCCATTGTTTATTTCTTTCAAATTATTTTACCACAATTATTGATATTCTATCTGAAAGCCTCATATGATCATGGAAATAAAACATTATCTTAACTTTACTATTTGACATTAAATTTCCAGATATTTTTCACTACACTTGACCTATCAGAGAATTATTGTATGTAGTGAATGATGTCACAGTACAGTCCTCAGTAACTAAGCATCTTGGTGGTCATGCTTTAAAAATAACCTTTGCGCGAATCTAGACTACAGAACATTCTATGACGTAACTGGCCTGGTCTCTTCAAAACGTCAGTGTAACAGAGTACAGTGGGGGAGGGGCTGTTCTTGGGTGTAACAGGCTGTGCTGGAACCTGGTTTAGATCCTGGCTGAAAACAACACATGACAGCGATCAGACAAGTTTGGGGACGACGGGAAATTTGAACATGGACTGAGTACTAGATGGTGATGGGGAATTATTGGTACTTTTTCTTTGGAGTTAGGAAGATATTGTGGTTAGCAGGAGAATGTTATTATTTTTGGGAGATTCATGCTGACATACTTAAGGGTGAAGTGTTACGATGTCTGTACCTCACTTTAAATTGGTTCAGCCGAAGATAAGTAAGCAAATATAGCTGAAATATATATATTTAAATAAATATATCCAAACATATGTACATAGATAATGCAAATGTGGCAAAATATTAAAAAGTGTTGCATCTAGGAGTACGATATTCATTGTACTTTCAACTTTTTTGTGTATTTCAAAATGTTCATCATAAAAAATTGGAAGAAAATGCCTGTAATAAAAAGTTGGAAGCAAAATGAAATGAAAGTCATGTCTGCAGATCACGTAAAGCAGAACTGCAGAGCAAAACACTTGACTGCACAGCCTGGCTCTGATCCGACCGCCCTAACCACTGACCCACGGATCAGCGCAGGCCTGTTCTGCCCCGACTGGACCTTTGCCTTTCTCCTTCACCTGCCGTCTTGCCTCATGTTTTACTGTCCGCCTAGGTCTTCCCCCATCAAAGTGGAGCTACCACAGTGACTTAACGTTGTTTAAGGGACTGTATTTAAATCAAAACTCATTATTTCTGGACTATTATTTGAACAATAGGACACCATGAAAGGCCTTTTCTCCTATTAAAGGAATGTTAGAGTTAGCAGAGGGCAGGAAGTCACTTGGGGCAGATCGGAATTCACTGAACTCAGAAGGTCTCCCTGACAGGCCCTTGTTGCTGACCCGGGTGAGGGCTGGGTGCCCAGGCAGATAAACCAGGTGTCTCTACCCAGAGAGTCTTCTGCAGCCCGGGAGGTTAGTCCATATGGTCCTACTGGATTAGCTGGGCTTTGTCTCGCTCTCGGCATTGCTGGTCAGAACCGGGGTTTGTATCCCACCTCCATGCCTGTTCTTTCCTAAGCGCCGTGGGTGTGTGAGTGTGTGTGTGTGTGTGTGTGTGTGTGTGTGTGTGTGTGTGTGTTCTGGCATATTTGACACTGTTTGGTCAGTATTGAGTGCTTTTTGGATATGTGATGAATATGCACACTTTCTGCTGAGTGTGTATGCCTCCCCCTCCCATGCTGGCATCAGGCTATACTGCCTAGTTCAATGGCGAAGCTGCTTATTCTTAGGATGAGTGTTGATATATTACCATGTTTTGCTGCGTAGAATGCTCACCCACATTTTTGGCCCAAACTTTCAGGGAAAAAATCTTTTGTTTTAATTTTTTAATTCAAATTTTTATTTGTTTATATTTAGGTACTTGTTTTTTGTATTATAAAGGAATTTTAGCATTTATTTTTTAACATATTATGGTACAAGAAATTTTATGTAGCAAATAATTACAAAACACAAGAACAGATACAAAGTACAAGAAATTTTATGTACCGGCAACAAATTTATGATATTTACCATCACAGAAGGCCAAGAACTCTTCCTTGTTGCAAGTTTGTTGTAAATTCAACAAACTGATTATCGTATTTTGGATATTATTTTGCATGTGGATATTGTTATTGATTTCTAGGGTTACACTTTTAACTCATAAGCATAAATGAAAGAATTAAAAACATTTACATAGATACGGAATTAGTACTACCCATGTATAATGTGCATCCTTATTTTTCCCTCACAAATTTGGGCACAAAAGTCTCATTGTACATGGCAAAATATGGTATCTTGATTTTATGATGCTATGACATTTTGTTGCTTTTTACAGAGAACATTTGAGAAAGCTTCTACATGAGACTCATGTAGATACTCGATTATTTTACTTTTCAGTGTGCATAAATAATGAATTTCTATGTGTATGCAAATATATAATATAAATATATACATGTATATTTATGAATTTACATTTATCTATAGGACAATGGGAAAATCATTATGACAATGCATATTAAATGTATAAAATAGTGAATTATTTACATTTACCTTTTGACTATTTGTGCAGTGACATGTCTGTGTAGTTACATTTAATCTTTGTTATTCAGCCTGGTCCTCTAATTCCGGTTAGCTGAACAAGCCCAGTGATTTAGTGTAATAGTGACCCCTACTGGTGAATATGCATTTTTTTTTAAAGCAAAGTCTTACTATACAGGTATTTAATTCCTTACTATATATTTGATTTGTTTCTGATGAATACTATATTCCCTCTCTGTAGGAAAAATAGAGGTACCTTTTCATTTATTTCTTTAATCATTTCACAACAGTCTGAGTATAAAGATATTTTTTACAAAGGATAACCAGGTCAGTGCGATTGCCTTAAAGGAGATTCATTTTCATGCATCATTTGAACTGATTCAGTAAATGATTTTACAATAACGAAAATTGTTCAACACTAATGCCTCATGTTGGCAAAACATTTTAAACTTAGCCTTTATTTTATTTTTTTTCTGTTTTTTTTTTAAACTTAGCCTTTATTTTAATAATGCAGTGAAAGACGTCTTTGTGAGGTACATGTGTTTTTAGTGTAATAAAAATTAGACAGCAGGCTGAATTTGGCAAAAACTCTGAATTAGAATGTGTTTGGTGACTTGCGCATTCTGAAAAAGGACTAAACTGATATTCACACATCACCCGCAGACTCTTTATTATCTTTCTAAAGTTGCTCATTGATGGACTTCAGGCTTCACCCATTCTCATTATTAAACATTGTCAGCCCAGATGCTCTCCATGAGATGAGCTGCGAGGCAATCAGATGATGTTGGCAATAAAGAAGTCATTCATTTTAGGTAGTTATGTGTCGGTTGAAGTACATGGCTCATTTGATATTTTCCCAGCCAACCCACTTATTATCTTTTGTAAATTAAAATGATATTGAAGACAGTTTTGAAATGTTAAGTGTAAAACTAAAATACATCGAGGGAACACAAGATACATAATTATTAGAATCATATCATCCTTGGGAGAAGGGACATTAAGCTGCTGGGAGTTGGGTCGCCCAAGATCCTCTGGAGGGAAGCTCATTCCCAGATGGCTGGAGGGTTTAGTTCCTGTGCTTCAATTCACAGACCCACCCAGCCAGAAGGAGAAAATGAATATGGTGTTGTACAGTTTACGTTAGTTCTAAATTTTAAGAAATAGATATTTTAGTGCTATCATTCCATATTAGTTAATTTTATGTTAATGTGACAAATACATAGAATCAATCCTCTAAACTCACTTTCTTTGAAATATATACGTATATATGCTAGTTAATACTTGGTAATTATTATTATATTAGAAAGTATAATTATAGTTAGATCCAGCAGTGCCTACTGCTTTAAAAAGTAATGAGAAGGTTTTTACTGCTTTAGAAAACTGTGGGTACAGAGCAGAAGAGGATAGACTCTGAAACCAGAATGGTTGCATTTAAAGGTAACTTCCACCACTTCCTGGCTGTAGAGCTTTGTGTAAATTATGTAACCTCGGGCAGCCTCAGTTTCTTCATCTGTAAAATGGCGATACCGATGGCAGGATTGTAGTGAGGACTAAACGAGATAGTGCACATAAAACGCTACTGAAAATTTCCAGCACGTAGTAAGTACTCTGTATTAGCTGTTATGTCTTTGGTTTACGTTGCCTGCAGTGTTTCCCATGAGGGCGAGCACAGGGATTTCTCAGTGCGTCCAGCCTGCATGCCCCTAACTGTCTTCCCGTGGATGCGCTCACGCACAGCTCCACTGATGTCCGCAGGGTGGAAAGCCTGAGACGTCTGAGTCAGCCCAGCTCCTCCAAGCAGCAGATAGATGCCAGGGCTGGATTAATGTGCAGGAGATTTGTTAGGGGAAACCCCGGTGAGAATCCAGAGGAAGGAGCTGGCAGAGGCTGGGGGAGCCATCAGACCCCGCACAAGCCAGACCCAGGGAGAGGGGGGACGGAAAGGAGGGTTTTGTGGAAGCCTGCGACAGCCGGCACTTGTCAGCAAAGTTTGGCGAGGCTGCGGCAAGGCCTCTAGCCAGTCTCCTGTCAGACGAACCCTGGGTCTCCCAGGAGTGCGCCGACCTTTCTCTCCCAGCTGTGGTCAGCCTGTCCAGGAGCAGCCCTGGGAGGCACGGCCTGGGGGCAGACATGGCCCTGGGCTCCAGCGCATGGCAGCTGGGGACCCTGGTCAGTTCCGCGTCCTGCAGCAGGACCTCTGAGAGGTTCATCGTGGCCACACTTTCAGATCCTTCACTACTGTCCTAGCCTCGCGTCTTCAGCCCGAAACCACCGCTGTATCCCTGACAATCTGGAGCTGTTGGATGTTCCCACATACACAGAGGACACTTCCACTTCCACAGCGAGTTTCATGCTGGTTTTTTCTCCCTGGAATGCCCTCCCGTTCATCCCGGATGTCTTTTAGGTGCTACCTGTCCACCTTCCCCACCCACGTGCTGTTGCATTGTTACCAGTTGCCCTGGTTAGGGTTAGGAGTGACTGTGAATCATACACTCCCAAGATAAAGACGCCTCAGCAAGAATGCGTTGTTACTCTCTCCGAGAAAGCCCAGAGGTCCGCAGCGCAGGCCTCCGCAAAGGCCTCGGGGACCCAGGCGCCTTGGGGGTTCTCCCCTGAATCTCCAGGGTGCCGCCCTTCCCTTCGGGGTCAGGGGCGCAGCTCCAGCCATCATGTCTGTGTTTCAAAGGGTAGGTGGAGGGCAGAGAAAGAAGGGGCAGCGAGCACGCATCAGCTGTCTTTTGGGTGAGGTTTCTAGAAGCAGCCACATCCTAACTGATTACAACTTAACGCACGTGGCGACACCAAGCCACCGGGCGGCTGAGCCATGTACTTGCTTCATTCTGGGGCCACGTGTCCCAGGGAAGAGAGGAGAGTTATGGAGGGATGGCTGGCAGCCTCTGCGCTAGGCTCTTCCCAAACTGTGTGCAGCGAAACATTGTCGTTGTCCTGGCATAGCCCTCAGTGAGCCCCTGTGACACCCACTGACCAACAGGACTTTGTCTCCCCTGTGACAGCAGAGGTGCCCTTTATGGAGCAGGTGCCCAATCTGCATTTATTGAGCATGGGAACTAACACTTTATCAGCATTTCTTACAGAGCAAGAAATAAAATGGTATCGCATAACTTTAATTCTCATTTTTCACTAAAGTAGCCATTAGGAAAACTGAAAAATTTCAGGGAATTAAAAAAAAAAAGAATTAGATTTCTGTTGATTTAAAAGTAACTTTAGCATTTCCCCTTCTGTGTGTCGACACCTGTAAGTCCCTCTCTGGCAAGTTGCTTAACTGTTGTGGGTTTCGTCCAGCTCCCGCTGTTAACACGATGATGATAAGAATAATGAAAGTCATTAATAGTATTGTCATCATTTACAAAAGATTTGGACAAGGGTGTCCTCTCCAGTGCCTCTTTCTCACAGTAACCACCCTCACATTTTTCTTGTCTTTACTAAAACTTATTTTCCTTTCCTGAGACTATGCTACCTGTGAAATATTTGTAGTTTTAGAAGTTGTTTTATCAACCTAAATACTGCACTTATAACCTTTTCTTGGGATTCCACCCAGATAATACGTACAGAATAGGAACCCAGAGTGTCTTTGGTCTGAGTTTCCATTATTTTTCACTCATACATAATATTGGACATGTGGTCGGTACCTGGTGTGAGCAAGTTACACCTAAGGAAAAATGCACAGCAAAGCAAGGAAAGACTCACATGTCTTGGCCAGGAATGGGGCCAGGCCTCAGGCTTCTCTGTGGGATCACTGATGCTCCAAGACAGGATTTGAAACCACTGTCCAAGAAGCAGTAGGGAGAAGGACAAAAGATGGGAGAGCTCTTAGAGCTTTGAGAACTCAGAACAAGTGGCCATTTTTTCCCTGAGGCGTGTATTTCATTTTGAACTGTCTCCCACTGTTAGGCTTCCCTGATTCTTCAGGCAGTGATATTAAAACGAAGATAGATCCTTAAAATTGGAGTAAATTTCCATAAACTGATCTTCTTTGCCGAATTCATCCCCATCACCCAGGAAAAAACATGTCGTATCTTGTTCTCCCGACTCCAGCACTGGCACTTACTTATGTACCCTCTGACATCAGGTTAATCTTTTGTGTCCAACCTATTAAGGAAGAAAATGGGAAAATGTTGTAAGTTCAAGAGGGTTTTTTTAAGATGATGAATTTAAAAAGTATTACGGAAGCTGTCAAAGCAGAAAAAAGAATTGAGAAGAGCTTAATAAAATTCTTCTAAGCGTGCTTGGTTTTTTCCTTGGTTTGAAATGCCGAAAAGGTAGTTGGGATGGCTAGGTCAAGTAAATAACTGAGGAAGTAAAACAGGCACTGGTCCTTAGTTATCCTATAATCAGATGAAAAATAAGACATCAGAGAAAATTCATATGGATTTTATATTAAAGGACACAAAATCAGCATGCCCATTAACAATGGCAATGAGATTCCTGAAGACATTTTAAAACTTGTTTTAGGGCATTGAAAAATTGTTGGTCTTTGACTTTTCAAAACATTTCAATGATAGTAATTAACCAAACTTGTGAATCATCAAATACATATAAAGCTGAATTTTCCAATTAAGGTATATACTTTGTCCTGTAATTTTAAGACTAGTATTTTTCTCTTATACTCATTTGACTCTGCTTTGTTTGTGTTTTTTGACCGCACAGAAAGAACTCATATTCGTTATTTCCACAGGGAACGCGACGCAAGCAAAATGAATTACATGTACGCTCAGTACGTCAAAAATACTATGGAGCCACTCAACGTCCCAGATGTCAGTAAGGACAAAAGATTTCCCTGGACAGTAAGTAACCCGATTTCATCTGGGAGCTTGAAGGCTGTGTTGCCATCGGGTCTGCTCTTGTGAGGGTCTCTGCAGCTAAAGGGCTGGCCCTAGAATTGCCTGTCTAGGAGTGATCTGTGCTTTCCCTGACCTGATGAAGGAAAATGAAGTAGCTCGTAACATCTGCCAAGAGCTGGTTAGCAATACTTGAGTATTTTTCTGTGTACTTCCTTCAGTTTTTTTTAACATGTACTAATGAATTATCGTAAACTAATTTTGAGGTAGTTTAACTATTACCTACTTCATGTCAATGACATTCCTTAAATAGTCTTGCTAGAATTCTTGAGTTTATTGTCAAAAATTAAGTTCCACAGGGCTCTAACTTATGTAATTGGTGATCTAACACACCGGGTAGCTCTGTGGAAAACGAGGTTCTGTTTTCCTCGACAGCAAAGCTACAAAGATCAGCTGCCTGACTTTGTCATTTGCACATCTAGGCAGCTTGTTAGAACTTTAGCAGTGTGAGTGGTAGAAACAGTGGATGCGTACTAGATGGTACTAGAGAGGGTCCAGCTGGTGACACACACTGTCCCCATGGGGCGATGCCTTGATCCCCGCCCCTCATAAGTTCCTGGGAGACACCAGCCACCAGGCTTAGCAGGCACTGAATAAACATTTTGCTTAGTATCACTGTAAGCTACTTGGAAAGTTTAAAATGGGAAAATGGAAATAGAGGAGATTTATCATTTTTAATAATTAAAGGTGACTTGTTTTGTATTGCATCTATTACAAGTGAACTTCATTATAATTTGTACATTTTCTGCCTCTATCACTCCAGCTAATGAAAAACAAATACGTTAATGGTTTCAGAAGTCCAGTATAGTTTATATAGTATTCAGTGGGCAATCAACCTTTTCATGACTTTTAGCTGCTTTTTGTTTTGTTTTTGTTTAGAATGAAAACACAGGGAACGTAAACCAGCAGTGCATTAGAAGTTTGCTTTGTACGCCTATAAAAAATGGGAAGAAGAATAAAGTGATAGGTAAGCCTTTTCATTAACCTCCACGGTACACTTATTAAGGGAAAAATGTATTCCCAGGAAGTTCTGTCTTTCAAGTGTAAATATAAATAAAATATGAAAAAGGTAAAAATTGGAATGATAAAAGAGTTCTGACATAACAGACATTTGTGAAGTATCTTATTAACTATTCTTGTAATTGTTATAATCCTACTTTAACAGAAATTTTTTTTTTTTAAGATTTTATTGGGGAATTTGGGGAGGGAACAGCGTTTGGGAATCGGGGAAGGAGGAACAGACAAGTTGCTATCCTTTTGTTCTTCAGTCTAGTTGTGGAGGACGTGGCTTCACTGGCCTGTGTTGGTATTATCATTGTGCTGTTCCTGACTGAGGCAGATCAGTCACCGGTCACTGGATGGCCGCTCACGGCGGCTCACACTGGCTGCCAGCCACACACGGTAGCTTACGGCAGCCCACTGCAGCCCCACTGCAGCCTACACTGGCACTGGCGACTCACAGCAGCCCAGCTCCAGGTCGAGCTATTGTTCACCATCTTAGCTGTAGAGGGTGCAGTGTCACTGGCCCATGTGGGATCTGAACCGGGGTCCTGCTGCTCAGAGCTTGTGCTCCCAAGCCTACTTCTAACCAACAAGCCACGCAGCTGATCCCAGAATTTTTGTGTAAGAACGTATTGAAAGTTAGTAGATGGAGAGACATGAAGTTAATGTGTACTGTTTTTAGAGTCGCACTTCTTGGTTTTTTTATCTTTATTGAATAAGTGGGTTAGATTGTAGATTGTATTCATTCATTCATCATTCATTTATCGAAAATGTTTACTGAGCTTTCTACTGCTCTGGGCACTTGGGATAAATCAATGAACAACGCAGAAATCCCTGCCCGTAGGGAACTTATATTCTTACATGAGGTTATGGAAAAAACATTTACATTCAGAAGAACGCATTCTCAGAAAAATGGAATGTTTTGTGTTATTGACATACTTGTTTCTTGGCATTGCAGGTTTTATCAAGAGTAGAACAGAACGTATGGGTTTTATATGCCAGTCATTCATGACTGATGCTGAAAATAGTCAGAACTGTTAACATCCTCCCAAGAACTTGGAAATAAAAGAAACAGGAAGGCAAACCTTTTAAATAAAAGCCCTAATGGAGCAAGGCTTAGCTATATACATTTACCTTAAAAAGTCTGGTAGTTTCCATGTTTCATTAAAGGAGAGCATGTCAGAAAGGGGAGGATAGGAGGTATTGTTCATGGAAAAAGGGAAAAGAGACAAGTATTGAAAGCCTGTCCAGTTTCTATCCAGAAGCCGGGGACCTTTGCCCCCGGTGCGGACAGGGACGTAGAGAACTGTGTCAGTGCACACGGCGACACCATCACCTCAGTGGCGATGGGTGTGGCAGGTTGTAGCCAATAATTTCTCACCGATTCCTGTCTCTTGGCAGGAGTGCATCCTCACGGTGAGATGCACACACCGGTTTATGCTCTAGCGTTCCGCCAATCCCTGCCTTTCCTTGTTCTGACCTTTTCCTCTCCGAGGCAGGCCAGCTCATAAGAAGAGAATGCATTCTTCCCACCCTCTCAAATGTGCTGATCGCTTTGATACTTGTTTCTTACTGTGCTTCAGCGGACTGGACTGCAGGCAGTGGGCTGGACGTGGCAGGTTCCTGGGACAGATTCGTTTCCTGCTGGGCATCAGTACCATTCTGGTTTTATACATCAGCCTTGTGAACTTGTCACTGTGACCCACCCAGAGAGATGGGTCTGTCCTCAGTGTGGCCACCTAGTTTCTAAGGCAGCAGGCAGGAGGTCAGATCCGGGCCTGGGGAAGCCAGCATGGCCACCCCTTGCCGAGCTGTTAGGTCCCTGGCACTCTTCGTATTCTCTGAGAAAAAGTGCAGCCTAGTGAATATGTACACGAGCTCTCTTTTCACGATGGCCACCCATGGGATCTGTAACATAAGCAACAGAAAAAAACTGACGGGGGCCCCACAATGATACTACGTCAAAGCTATGTTACAAAATTCTAGCAAGTTCAAGGTGAAAACAACACTATAAATGTTAATGCTGCTCTGGTGCTTTCAAATATAAGTATAAAGACTTACTACAAGCTGCCTTCGACCTTGCAAAATGGGAAATGGAATTCCAGAAGGGATGTATTACTTACTAGTAAGTTTCCTTAAGGAGGAGGACCTTGTGGCGACCTGCCATGCCTCGTCCCATTTTCAGTTTTCCTCAGCAGCGTCTCTTTGGAACATAACTGGGAATGGGGGTGACTAGAGGAAGTTATACGTCAGGCTTTTCATCACTTCACACAGATGGTAAAGGAGAGCTCGTCGGGGGAAGTGCAAAGAACCCTGACCGGAGCAGGCCTGACAGCATCCATTGGCTCCAAGCGTCCTTGAACCATTTAAAAGGTTAGGAGCACATCGCTCACCTCTGCGGAGTTGAACTCGCCTTTCACATCTGTTGAAAGTTCACATTCTGTTTAAGAATGCCAGTTGAAATACTCAGACTTTCCTTAGTATGCATTTTGTCCTACTTGAGAAAAGAGCCAAAAGAAAGCAAATGTTTTTGGAGAGGAAAAATTCCCTGTAAATAAAAGGAAAGAAAATAATTCCCTTAGTGGGGTCGTAGGTGGCGGTTCAAGTTGATTCCAAGTATGAGAAGGAAAATGTCCCGTGTCCCTTCTGTGTTGCAAGTGTAACAAAACAGGGAGTTTGAATTCTCCACTAGACTTTGTACCCACAGTTGCAACATGGAAAATATCATGGCTGCAGATAACTTTTCTTGCATGTCAAGGCCAGATTCTGCTGTTATGTAATCCTAATAGAGAGTCCCCATGGAGTTACATGCAGAAAGACAGATGGGCCCATGTGCTTTCTGTAATCTTCTTTCCCCCTCATTTTTTTCCATTACTGACATTTAGATGGAATTATAGACATGAGACCAGTACAGGGCCTGTTGCATCATCAGATGTGTTGCCTGAGGTTTTGTTTCATGTCACATGTCTTCTGAGTGCTCTGGCTCATCCTGAGTGTTTCCAGTACCATGAAGGAAACGTTTTTCTCATTCAGCATTCACTTATTTTAACCAATTATTCCCCCAATTTATTAAGTTAAATATGACTTTTCCCCATATCGTATTTATCAGACATTCTTAGGCATATTTTTCATACCAATTTCAGGACATATTTTGAAGAAATTAGTCTTATTCCCATCCAAAAAAATAAGTTAAGAACATCTCTGCTTTAAATAGGGTACATTTCCAGCCGTCTCTTTGTTAGTGAAGAGTTTAGTAAGAAGTATAGTGGAACACCTCATGTTGCGAGAGCTGCATTTCTTGCCGAATGTGTGCTCTAAGCAGATGACGCTCCCCACCTCTGCTCACCTGTGTGTTGTCATTTGATTCCAAGGCAGAGATAAGTAGTCCAAATTATGTAAGTTTAAATTTGACTTCTACTTCGTTTTACTTTTCATATTAAATTTTATCATTTGGCCATATCACTAACTGCTCACTTGTTTATAAAATGTTTGCTAGGATTTTCCTAATACAAGTACCTGTAATTAAACGGCGTGGTGTCATCAAGCCTCATTGCTTTTCAGGGGGAAGAGAGGGTCTTGACCAGCTTTTACAAAATTCATCTGGAAGATTAATATATTTAAAAAATCAGAGACATAGCTCTATTTACATCTATGTCTATCTATATATCTATAGCTCTATCTATCTGTTAGACTGTAACAGAGACACTGTAGCTGTCCTTCCCTGAGCTGTGGCTGTGACAGCTGACTCTTGATATTTGTACACGTTACCTTCCATTTTGATACCTTTCGATTCCAGAGGTATTGTTAACTAACACTTCTTACTGTACCCATTCAGTGACTTGGCTGAGGCACGGATGTGACCCGCTGCCCAGGAGAGGGCTGCTGAGCTCGGTCATAGCCTGGCAGACTGCCCGACAGCCGCGTCTCACCCCTCCTGTGGTCTTTCCCTTTTCACACATGCAGTAACTCTTATGAAGTGATAAAAAGTAAAATCTTGTTTATGAAACTTGGCCATGTAGGAGAAAGCTTTAGTGAAGCTTGAACAGCGCTCACGCTGTGATGTGAGGCTAAGGGCATGGAGCGCGTGACTCGCAGGGAAATGTGATTTGGGAGCGAGCCAGGAGCCTATATAAACAGTTCCATATTTATAATTCGGGGATTCACAGAGGTTGGAGAACACAGCCCTCGTGTTTTTACCATACATGGGACATGTTCCTGAAGATAACCGTGCCGGTGGCCGTTTAGCCATGTTTTTACTTGCAGTATTCACATTCATTCTGCTTTGTTTAACCTTTTCCTCAATGACGTGTTCGAGAAGCAATCCTGCAGCACTAATGCACTTAGGATAGAGAAGGGTGTCTCTACTGCCTGAAGCAGAAAAACTCACACAAACGGGAAAGAACAAAGATGGACGCACAGACAAGTGTAGTGCTAAAGTGCTCCCACAGTGACAGAGGGACGTGTGACGTACAACTTTGCATCTTCATGAACTGTGAAACCCTTTTGTGTTCAGGAGAGAAAGGACATAACAGACCACCGCCTTCATGGGAAAGCAGTTTGGGTCAAAGCTGCAGTCCTGCTTTCCCTCATTAACTCAGTAAACATTTCGGGGGTTCCTCCTGTAATGCCAGGCACTTTGCCAGCTGAGGAAGTAGAACTGAAAAAATAAAATCTCTGAGCCCAAGATATGTAGAGTCTACAAAGAGAGCCAGATATAGAAAACCCTGTGGTACTCCAAGTGATGGCGTTGAAAGCAAACCAAAGAGATGCCTGCCTCACAGGGCAGTGGGGGCCCCAGGAGAGATCCATCACTGGGTACCAGCCACGGGAGCCTGGGGAGGGCACAGGCCAGGGGACAAGCACAGGCAAACGTGCGGGCAGGCCGGATGGCCGGCGGGGGCACTCCTGTGATGAGGTCAAAGGGCACCAGGCCGCAGTGTGGTCAAAGTGGCCTCTGGGGCGAGGCCGAGCTGGGGTGTGAATTTTAGAGCTGAGCACACTAAGGGGCCTTGAGCAACGACTTCACCTTTCTGAGACTCAGTTTCTTCATCTGTGAAATGGGGCTGGTCACACCTACCTCAGTGTAAATTGTGAGGACTAGAGATCGTGTCTGTACTAAAGCAGTTAGCACGAGGCCCACCCCATGGTGGGCACATGCTGGGACTCTGTTATATATTTAGGGACAGAAGAGACGAGGACCTCAACAGCACTGTTTACCCAGAGGTAGGTGGCCCAGCTCCTCGCAGAGACCACGAGGCTCAGAGTCCCATAGAACAACTAGCTCAGTGAGGACATATCATGACGTTGATGTCATCTTCCATTTATGTTGACAACATGTTTGACTTTCAAAGAGAGGCCAGGACATAGGTAGGAGGTTATGATTTTCGTCAGACAGTAGCTCTGCTTTTATTTCTAAATAAATAAGTCATTTTTATTTGCATTCGTTTGAAGTATTAAAAGTTGTCTGCAAACATGGCCTCTTAGACACAGAGGTGCATATTTGAAATTTGAGACTATGTGAATTGCTTGTTTCCTGCTTTCTATTTTGCATGTAATTGTGTTTTTTAACTTCTGGTTTCTCAGTAAGGCAGTCTGCGTGACCCAAAATTCTGTGCATCCAAATTGTTCTCTTGGCAAGAGTGCAAAAATCCAATTAGCCTCCAAAGGACAAATTGTCTTTGGGGATTCGACTGACCTAAAACTCACAACCAAGTCTGGAAGAAAATAGCACTCTAGGATTTTTGAACAGAGGCAACGTACGTTTAAGACAATGTGAATCAAGTCCCATGTAAATTAATTCAGTTTACTTTCTACCTTAGATCTGTGAGGGTTCATCAGTTTCTTTGGAGATGACAGACATTCCTAAATGTCTAAGACGGTCTTTGGGGGGTATGTGTTCAAATCGATAAAAACTGTGATCATTCCTACTAACACTTGCTCCATTTCTTGTATCGTTATAGGGGTTTGCCAACTTGTTAATAAGATGGAGGAGAACACTGGCGAGGTTAAACCTTTCAACCGAAATGATGAACAGTTTCTGGAAGCTTTTGTCATCTTCTGTGGCTTGGGAATCCAGAACACGCAGATGTATGAAGCTGTGGAGAGAGCCATGGCCAAGCAAATGGTCACGTTAGAGGTGGGCCGCAGCTTTGGGGCCGCTCAGCCGTAGCAAGTCACCCTGTCTGTGATACCATGGTGGCCGCACGCATCATGTGGGCCAGATGATCAGATCTTTAATTCCGCATTTAAACAGCTCAGGAAACTGAGACCCAGAATATTGTAGAATCTTGTCAGAGGTCACGTGACCAACCCACAACTCGGGCGGTATGTCCCTCCCCCGTCTGCGTTTTGGGCACAAATCAGTCCTTGACCTGAACCATCGGGCCACACAGGCGCCTCCTGCCACTTACTGCAGCCTGCTTTCCCGTCCTGGTCGCCTGAGCCCCCCCCCCGCCCCATCTTGCCTCACAAGCAGCTGTAGTTATTTTAAATACAGTCATCTAAAAAATAAAAATAAAAAAAACAGAAACAAGCAAAATAAAAACAGAAACCCTGAGCAGCACTCATAGAGAATCAGAGTAAGGAAAAGAAAAAAAATCAAGGATAGTTTAAACTCCTACACTAGCTATTTCAGAATCTCTCAGAAACTTTCAAATTACAGATTTATGGGACCCATTTCTAAAGATTCTGACTAGGCCTTGGGTAAAGACTGGAATCTGCATTGTACAGAGCTGCCTGGCGATTCTGAACGCAGGCAGCCAGTGGGCCCCTGGCCTGGGGACTGGTGGTGGGCAGCCTCCTTCTCCAGTGACCAGCCCACCCAGGGGGGGCGCCCCTTCCAGATGGATTTCACTGATGGCTCTGAAAATGTTGCACTTCGTGGAACACAGAAATTTTCTTTCGTCATAGACCAGTTTAGGGAATTGGATTTCAAAAAGTGCAAACGTCTGCTTAGTCATTCGAGCATTGGTGTGAAATACATTTGAATGTTTGCCTGCTCTGGCCTAGTTGAGGAGAGTGGGAATCACTGTTTGGGATATAACTTTTCCTCGGAAAATACACAAATAAATAAATACACAACCTAAAGAGCTAGAAAGTTATATGTTATATGTCAAGATTTATCAGTAACCGAGATGGTTCACTTTACTTCCTGAGGTGAATTATAACACTGAAGTTTTGCTATAGTATTACATATGAGACCTCAAATTTGAAATCTCGGTTTCAAATACATATTTAAATGACATATACACTCACATATGTGTTCATATAGTTTCATAAGTCTGAAAGCAGTTACCTTTTCAACAATAATTCTAAAGCTCCTAGAGCTTTTTTTATAAACCTGTGTTGGCTCTGTCAGACATGAACTTTCAAAAACATGTTTTTAAAATATGATAGATGTTTTACATACAGCCACTACCCTGGTTAAAAACAATGCCTAAAATAGCACCCCACTGCTTAGCGGTTATCTCCTGTGACAGTGGGAATGCGTGGTTCTCATGGGCAGTTGTAAGAGACAGTGAGCCCGACCTCTGAGTGTACTGAGGTCGCGGGGCGCGCGTGCGAGGGAGAGGAGAGCTGGGTCCCGGCCCCTGGTCTCTCGCTGGGGGTGAGCTCACAGCCGAGGCCCGAGAACCCCTGCGCCTGGGGGGGGCCTCAGCTGCCAGGGGGTGCGTTCCTGGGCCGGAAGCCCTGCACCAGGCTCTGACTCCGATCGGTGGACTGGGGACCCTGCACCTGTGACGGTTATACCCCAGCCATGCAGACTTCTGACTTCTCCGGTGGGTACCGGCCTCATCAGAGAGCCACTTCTAGACTCCCTGCTTTCCAAATGCTTCCCAAACAGCATCATTAAAATGTCACTTTATGCAAAGGTGTTTCTCCCTAATTATGAACACAAGCAAAAATAAAGTCAGTATCTAAAAAAATAAATAAAAACAGTCGAAGCTAAATTTTCTGCCAAGTTTGGTCCAACAGTGTGGCTTATAGAGAATGTGTTCCTTATATCGACAATGGCAGAGGGCAAGTGATGCGTTTTTGGACACGGAGTAGTACTTTGTTTTCCGAAACAAGCAATTGAATGGAAGTCTGGGATTTTCTCTCTGTTGAAGAAAGCAGAAACCAGAACAGGGCTTGGCATTCTGAGGAGACTGGTTGTCGCTCTGAGAAGTTTTAGCAGAATCCCAAGCATGAAAATCCTGGTGTGTACCTGGCAGCGCTCCTCCTGTAACCTGTGTCCTGCCTCTCCCCGCAGGTGCTGTCCTATCACGCGTCAGCAGCGGAGGAGGAGACGAGGGAGCTACAGTCCTTGGCGGTAATTCTCCCGCTTCCTGTAACCACGACTGGCTACACACATCTAAGTAGTGTATCCATACATAGGCCTTTGTCAGGATAGCTGCCTCTCCTAGTAATGGTCCCTCAGACATGGAATCAAATGTGGCCAATATTTAGATGGACACTTATAAAAATATTTAATCAACTCTAATGTCTTGCAGGGCTACAAAGTCACTGATAATACAAAGCCAAAGATAATAACTTATATTGACTTTGTAATACATTATTATATGATTCTGATTTTTCCCCCCAATAATTGTTTTAATCTTTACATCTATCTTAGGCCAAAATTAAATTTAGTTTTCAGTTCCTGGGGAAATGGGGACAGGTGACTGCAAAGTGGTTGTTTGGTTAAGGTAATGACAGCAAAGGCTGTATAGTTTGTTACTGATAACCTATGGTGCATTATTGAGAACTGAGAGTGACTTTAGTTTCTGACCATAGAGCTCTGGAATGTTCTTTGAAATTGTGTTCACATAAGGCCCATTCCCGAGTGTTCTTTCTTTACTTCAGCCATCCTGCCACCTGTTAGCAGCTCAGCAGCAGCTCAGCTTGGGCCGGGAATCGAACCGGCGACCCTGTTGCTCAGAGCTCGCTCAAGGGTGCGAGCTCTTAACCAACTGAGCCACTCGGCTGCCCCCCCTCCCCCCAGAGTTTTCATTACACTTATTTAGTTGCTGTGAGAGAAGAGCATCGATACGTGAGTAGAAGTCCCGGGTCCTGGGCGTCGGTTGAGATTCACGGACGTTTGAGGCCCTTACTCATTCACAGCCACGGCTGGCCTTCCGAGCTTACATTAGTTTGGGATGACATAGGTCAGGTGTGTGTGACATGTGACGACAGCCGGGAGTCGTAAGGAATGAGAAGGGCGTGAACAGGGTGGGGAGAGCCTTTTTCGTGGCCGTCACCATCGTAGCCCCCAGATGCCAGCCCTGTGTCCCTTGCGGACATCTCATGGCAGCTGCACAGCTGTGTCACGAAGCCACAGTGAAGCGCGAGGAGCCGAGCGGCTCCAGGTGCCACCGGCAGGAGGCGAGGCCGGGACGCACCCTCAGCCCACGGCCCGAGCCCGTGCATGTCACCGCTGCCGTCTGTTATGAGCTGTGAGGGGGGAGAAGGGAGAGACGGAGCAGCTCTTCTGACCTTGGTGATGAAAAGAGTCATGGTGCCATTAGTTAAGGAAGGCGGAAATAGTAAGCAGGAAAGCTGGCAGGTTTGATCTAGAACATGGTATGTATGAGGTGCTGGTGGGCCAGCCAAGTGGACATGCCCGTGAGGAAAGGCAGGACTTGCGTGGTGAGGGGCTGGTGGTCAGAGCTGGAGCTGCTGCTTGGGGAGGTACCCCGGGACCGGGGTGGCCCATGGCAGTGACATCCCGGGAGTGGAGCAGTCGGGAGGTAGTGTGGAGAGAGGGCAACACGAGGGGCAGAACCCAGCTGAACTAAGGCTGACACGGGAGCAGGAAAAGAGCTAGGACGGAAGCGGTAGTCAAACAGAGAGGCAGGTGGAGGATGGCAGGGCCCAGAAGTTTCCCCAAGGAGGGGGGCCTGTGACGTGTAGGACGTGGAGACACTTGAGCACTGAGCAAAGGCGGCGGGAGTCCGTGATGAGGGGACTGTTGAGAAAACAGCTTCAGGAGTGAAATGGCAGAGACCAGAGGAAATGGTGAGAAAATGAAGGAGAAATACGGTCTCCGTTTTAAAAATCAGTTTCCTGTGAAACAGAGAGGAGGAGCTCTGAAAGGGGTTGGTGAAGTTTGCAGTGTTCGTTTCGGTTCGTTTTGTGCTTACAAACCAGGGCTGCTCACAAGCAAGAAAGCCCGCGTGTTCTTGGACAAAGGGGGGGTCACGGGTGCGTGTAAGGCGAGCAGAGCAAGATGGCGGGAGGGCTGGGCCTGGATGTGGCCTGAGCACTAAGGAGAGCCATTTCTTTGGTCAAGACAAGAGGAAAGGGATACTAGTAATAGCTGCATTTATGGGGCACTTACCACCATAAGTGGGCAGCATGTTTGCAGTTCTCTGTGTGTGTGAACCAAGTGTATGTAATCCACAACAACCCTGTACAGTCGGTATTACCAGCATTTTGAAATGCAGTTTGAGGCTGAGAGAGCTTAGATTGTCCCACTCGGGATCACCCAGGCTGTCAGCCATGGTGCCAGGGCCAAGCCCAGGCCCCCGGGCCCAGCCCACCGTCCCCGGCACAGCTCTCGAAAGACAGTGAGCTACAACGGGAGGAAGGACACTGAGGACTTGGGTTCGCCATTAAGTCACTGAGTTGGGAAGCTGAGTCATGTGCCAACGTCAGTCTGAGGAACTTGAGATGATTTTACCCTAAAGGTTTTGGGGTTAGCCTTGTTTGGAACTGGCTATCTTTATTTTGTTCTCAATCATATTTGAAGAAATGAGCATTTTTTTCATTTATTTACAAAGGTCTATAAGTTTAAATTATCTTTCACATCAGGCTTACTTGGCCCATTTGTCTGGTCCTCCTAGAATGATAACGTTTGGAAACTAAACACGTGCTGTGAGTTGGAAATGCTCGCATGGAAAGACATGTCTTGAGGTGCTTGCCGGCTCTGGGATTATCGAGTTGGTTCTAAAATGAGGGGAGGTTGCACTCTGCCTGCCACGTGTTGTTTTAGATAAATAAAAACTAGCATATAGAGTAATTTCTAAAGATAATGCTAAAAAATCAGGAGGCTATTAAACTTTGTGTTTCGCTTTGAAAATAGCATAGTCTTTCAGAAAAATCTGAAAATTGTTTCCTCAATTATATTTATAATTTTAGCAGAGAAAAACACTTTGGGATAACTGAAAATTGCTGTATTGCAGTATTGTTCAAAACCATCTGTTGTTCTTTTTGAAAAATAGATTTCTGGCAGCTGCACTGAGAAATGTAAGGTTACAGAGCTTGTAGGTCAAGTAATTAATTTAAATTGGTTGAAATTCAGCAACCAATTGCAATTCTAATTTTCTATCAATCTAATAAAAATTCTTTTACAGCCTCAACTACACAGGTGTTTGCATCACCTAGCAATTACCAAAATTGCTGTCTTTGTTATGTGTCTGTTTATCTCAGTTTAAAACCTAAAATAAGTTGAAAAACTGTCAAATATTTTCTTAACTCTTATTTTTTAAAATTAGTTCTTAAGAGAATTAAATAATATACTGAAGTATACTAAATATTTATGCCTGTGCCCAGAGAAGTTCTGTAGTTATACAAAAGTAATTTTGTTGATAGAAAATTCAGTATCCTTATTTTTTCCCTGATTCACTTGAGTTTTTTAATTCAGTTTATTGAGTTTCCTATTTTTAATCTAATCTTATCTTGGCTTAAAATTGGGTGTAGTAAACTAAGCATTTTGCCATATACCTTTTAATGATTCTTAGTCATAAATTATTGAGATAAAAATAAAAGACCCCAACTGACTTGGTTATGATAAAGTTATCAAAATGTAATGCATGTTTATTACAGGTACCTGAATATTTGATGGCTGATTGCCTTTTCCACCTTCCTCTCTTGTTAAAAGAGCAGTAAATAAATAAGTATTAGAGTTTAGATTTTAAAATAAGCTGCTCCGTTTTGTCTTGGAGTCACTGCTGACTCAGCTTGAGTCCCTAGAGCTTCTGCTTGGCAGCAGTTTCTTTGATCATCAGTCATGGATGTAAGCGCAGACTGAGACCCTGCTGTGATCCTAAAAGGTCTTCTGTATCAAAGTAGTGAGAGAGGGAAAAGCCGACCTTAGGATGGAATTTGCCTCGTCTTGATCAGGCACAGGTGTGACTGAGGCAGGTCACAGTAAGGGGCAGAGCCACCTACCTGACTCAGATCTCTGAGGCCAAGTCAGGGTAGCATGTGGTCCACTTCCTTCATCAAGATGATCATCACATTCCCTCACTTTTGGGGAAAAGCTATATAAACAGCCAAAATGTTCATGGAAAATTTCGAGCAGATAATAACAAAGAGCTGACCTTCTGCTCTTAATAACTGTTGTCACTCAACCGCAGTAAGCTGTGGCATCCAGTGAGGCACCCTCTTCCACCATCAGTGTTAGGACACTCTGGGACAGCCTGGGTCCTGTGGACTTCCTGTCACTATCATCAGTACATTCACTTGCATCGATACCTGTGACATGGACTGGGTGGGTCTTCTTCACATTGACCAGACTTCATAGATTCTGTTTGAGTCTTCCTGCTTTAATTTGACAGGCTAACCTTATCTGTTTTGCTTGGATTTTACTAGTGGATGACTTCCAATGGTAATCTTAGCTCCAAAATGTGGTGGCACTGTTCTGGGTCATCTTATACACTAACCAGATGTTCCCCAGATCTGTGTGTGCCAGTCCCAGCTGTAGTCATAAATTTACTCTAAAGTTTCACTTATAAGCACATACATGTTTTATCAGAATCTTGACATTATGATATTCCTTTATGTGATTTTGCAAAACCATACAATCACTACCCAACTTTTTAAATAATCTGTACCTCTTTCCTATTGAGATTTAAATGCATCCATTTATATAATGTTATAAAGAAGGAAAAATCATAAAACATGTTGATATAGTTATTGAAAAACACATACTAATCCAGTCTAGTTGTGCCTTATTCACGTCTTGATTCTCAGTAAGATTTGGTTCCACCTAGAGTTAGATGTTCACCTCCCTTTGTATAAGAAGATTTCTCTCCCATTTTTATATTGATTTACTTCCCTCTTAGAGAAAGATAAATTCCAACAGCCTTGTAAACTAACCGTGTGAGATTTGTTTCCTTCAAAACGCATGTTCTGTGCATGTGAACAGCAGGGAAAAGAAACATTAGCCTCCTATAAAGTTAAATGTGATGGCTGTCACATGGCTTCATTCACAGACCTGGAGCCAAACTGCTCTCCACAAAAGTGTGCCCCGTGTGGGGGTGGAAGCGGGTAGTGATCAGGGACTGATAAGGGTCACTCCCTGTAGTCACCAATCAGCGCATCAATTGG